TGCCTGTTCTGCTCCCCACTCTGTCTCTGGTGAATCCTTTCACCCTCCACATCTCTGGCCTGTACTCCAGTTCTATATAAATAAATAAATCTAAAAAAAAAAAAAGCACTTTTCTTTCATGTAATATGTCATTTTCCTAACTAGGTGTCAACTGCTTATGCTTTGGAAGCAACTTCTAGGAGGTCATCAGATCTAATAAGCCTAGCACTTGCATCTCAACAGGCTTAGTTCCACTGAATACATAAAAATAGGAGAAAAATTATATAACTGGTTCCAAAGGAAATGAGGGAAAATCCTTAGCACAGTGACATCCTTTTATAAAGGTCAAATGTCAACTATATTTTACTATGCCCTTTTGCCACTGTGGGAATCTTCCTCTTTTCAGATCTTCTGAAATAATGAAACCCTCCTTTGATATTTTTAAAATCTTTTGTGTACAGCATTCTCTTTTAATACTTCTGAACCTTCTTACCAAAAAGTTCCATTTTTAATAGACTAGACATACAGATGTACAATTTTCCCGGTTTACAAACATTTATAGTGTATTTAGTTGTACAATAATCTGAAAAGGATAAGAGGTGGAGAAAGATCTTTTCCCATCCATCCAATTAAATTCTATTCAATACTCTGCCCCTGTTAAACTTCACAAAATCTTAAAACTGGGAGGCACAGAAAGACCAATCGTCTAAGAGAAACAGAAACCACTCCTACACAATGACTGCTCTATCTGTGGGCACTTAGACCATGTGTATCATTGGCAGGAGGCTCTGAAGCTCTTCTCCACTTGTATTTATCGGTTGTTCTTCTGACCCCATTATCTCTATTATAGCCTCCTTCACTCAACCTGTTTATTACAGATTAGTCTTTATTTGATTCTAAACTTCTTGTCATTTTTATTTTCACATTCTTTATCATTTTACTCATTCTTTTCCCCTCTTGTTCAACTTAGTTTAAAGCCTTCTTAACTGAGTCAATAAGGAAAATAAAATTGGGATTCTAACCAATGTAAACACCTCAGCAAAATCAAAGACGCATAAAGGTAGACACCTTTAGTATTTTAAATATAGTAAAGATGTTATCAGAGATGTGAAAAAATGCTTGTTTACTGAACAAGTGACACTTCTGAAAAAAAGGCAGTCCTACAATTTGCCCTTTCCATATTCTGTTTCTCAAAGACTGAATACTTTGAAAAAAGCAAAACAGGGCCCTCCCTGGTGATACACGGATTAACACACTTCACTATGAAGCTATCCGGAGCCACTGCAGCACGAGTTCAATACCTGGCCAGATAGGGAGGTGACCCACATGGCACAGCAGACCTCTCCTGCTCATCCACTGCTTCCCTCAGCAGTGTACTTCGTCTAGCTGCCTCTTTTGCTCCCTGCTGTCTCTGGCGAATCCTCTCATTGCCCCTGCTTCTTGCTTGTGCCCTACTTCTGTGTGCATAAATAAATAGATCTTTAAGATAATAATAAAAATAAAAAATCTGAGCAAAGCAAAAAAGTACTGTCTACAGGAAATATTCATTCATAGATACATGCAAACAATATTTCCTGGGTAAAAATCATGTTTGAGATACTTTTATAGGTGTAGGTAGACAAATGGTCACCTAAATAGTATTTCCAACCCATGTGCTGTCAGAACTAGCAGGGCAAGGAGACAATGAACAAGTAACAATAAATCAATAACTATTCCAAGTTGTGATGTATGACTCAAAATAAGTAACTATATAAACACAGGAAATAACAATGGAGCTCAGATTTGGTAAGTTGTCAGGGAACAGTTCTTAGGTTAGAAGAATCAAGATATGAATGAACAGGTGCCAGGCACAGGAAAGCTAGAGGACCAGCATTTCAGGGATGGAGACTAGCATAGCCAAAGGGTGCTAGAGTGAAAGAAAAGCTCATGATGGGCTCAAGGACCTGAAAGAGATCAGGGAACCACAGAGTAATTAGCTGGTGTTAACAATGTCACTAGATAAAGTTGAATTCAATTAACCGAGAACTATCTGGGTTCTATTCCCAACATGCAGCTAAAATGAGATGCATTTCCTAAGTAACACTCTCTGAGTTGACAAATCCAGTATTCTTTTTCAGATCTCAACCAAGTTGATCCATTTGCATAATTCAACAATGCTGCCATTCCACCTTCCTTCCTTAATCTATAATAATTCTACCTTGTGGACCCTCCCTGGTGGGTCAAATGGGTTAAAGCACAGCACTATGAAGCTATCTGCAGCCACTACAACATGAGTTCAATTTCTTGCCCGAGAGGGGACCCACATGGTGTGGCAGACCTCTCCTGAACCACCAGCTGCTCTCCTCAGCAGTGTATTTCAGTTAATCTGCCTCTTCTGCTCCCCTTCTCTCTGGTGAATCCTCTCAACCCCTGCACCTCTGGCCTGTACCCCACTTGTATGCAAAAATAAATAAAATTTTTAAAAATAATTCTACCATGACCCCACCATTCTTTTCTATTGGTAAGAATATGAGCTCTGTAGTCACATTGTATTGTTTCAAATCCTGGTCCTGCCACCTACATGCTGGATAACCCTGGCAAGTCAGGGCATATTTTCTGAATGATAAAATGAAAAACAGTATGGGTACTTACCTCAAAGAGTTATTGTGAGAATTCATGCATATTTAAGACAATGTCTGGACCCAACAAATACTCAATAAATTTTAGCAATTTCCCTTATTCCCTTCCTTTTTGACTTATTAGTCTCTTGATGGTTCTTCTTCCACCCACACCGGATAAGAACATCCTTGTCTCCTTACTTCTCATTCTAGGTTCTTCCAGTGTAATCTCATCCATTCCTCTGCCTTCAAAATGCTGAAAATGCCCAAATCTGCCAGACTTCACTCTTGAACTTTAGGAACTAGCTTCAACACTTTGTGCCTTTACATGTCCCTTCTGTCTGGAAGGCTCCTGCTATCCTCCAAAGCAACTTTACATTGAAAGACATCATCCAACACATCTCCCAAACTGAGTTTCTGCAGAAATGTCACCCGGTCCATTACCATTACAGTATTTCTCTAGCACGTTTTCACTGTAAATTATGTCTTTTTACTTATCTGTACATGCCAAAAACAACAGCAAAAGCTAATACGTGCTCATCACAGGCAAGGATTAACACAAGACAGTACAGCTAGGTCACACAGCTTGCAGACAAGAGTTCAATTCCGGCTGTGTAATTCCTGAACCTGTCCTCTTTAACCACGACTCTGTAGTTTAAGCCTCAGCAAATTCTTACTGATTAAGAAGACCGACAACGAGGAAGGAGAATTAATCAAGTCAGCTAACTTAAAAAAAAAAAAAGACCCTAAGGTGACAAAAGTGCGAAGGAGCAAGAGGGTTCAATTCAGAGCATTTAGAAGAAGCTTCCAGGAAATCGGGTAGAAGCTAGGAGAGAGGCGGGAGACAAAGATCAAAGGGCTGGGAAAGATGGGGTAAAAGAGAGAAATTATGGGACGCTGTAAAAGAGCGCGAAAATGGCCTTCGAGGGCGTGGGGGAGAGACTAGGTCAGACAAACTGGGGCGCTGGAAAGCCCCAAAGCATTAGCCACCGCGTAACATACGCGCCCCTACCGCTGGGCTGGACCGCCAAAGCAGGATCGCTGGAGGAGGGGGTGACAGCAGCCCAAGCCCGCACCCTGCCCGCCTCCACGGGCGAACACCGTAGCACGAGCCGGGTATACATGCGCTATTCCCGCTTCCGGTTCAAACCCGGCGTGACCCCGCAACGTGGGTCTCGGGAGGAAGAGGTGAGGCTAACACCAAAGCCGGAACAGCCCGCCCATGCGCACCAAATAGCACGCGCTACACAATCCACGCACTAGCCAGCCCAAAACATTAGGCTCGTCGGCGCCAACGCGCTTGCGCGCTGCCCACCAATGAAGAGCGACCTTGCGAAGGCTGCTCGCCCTCTAGCTGGGGCTAGGCGCCAGCATCTTGGCGGCGCTCACAGGAGACCGGAACCGCCGCACAGGAGGGCGGAAATGACGACAGTTCCCAGGAGAACGGAGGCGGGTTGCATTTCGGCGCCTTTCTGCCCTCCGCGGTAGCTATTGGCTGACGTGGAGCGAAAGAGGCGGGACAAATTGCCGCGGGTTCAGTGCCGCCACTGGAACCGGGAGATGCGGCGCAGAAGCTGTCGCTGTGTTGGCTTTTCCCCGGGTCTTGTCTCGTACTGCGGCTCCTTCTGCGGCTTCGGTCATGTTGTTACCTTCGGACGTAGCCCGGCTGGTCCTGGGTAAGCGGGAAGCCTGAGGGAGGGTTATTGCACTCGGCTGCGGACGGAAGGACCTTCGGGGCCAAAGGTTTTCCCTGGGAGGAAAGCTCGGGGGTTTGTGCCTCCCCGCCCACAAGTTCCGACGGGCGCTGGTGATTCTGCCGCCGGAGGCTCGGGTCGTTTCGGCGTCTTTGTGTGGGGATGTTTCTCTCTTGGCTGCGGGGCGAGGGGAAGGCTGAGGAGACTCTCCGGTGGGACACCTGAGGCCCGAATTCGGAGGGAAAGGCGGGCCTTCGCACTTCCTGGGCCGCGGGTTCGAGTGTTGTCGACGTGGGGCACAGACTGCGTATTCTTCCCCTAGCCGTACTTGCCCTCGTCAGGGCTGGCACCAAGATAGGAAAGATAAGGTCTTCCCCAGGTGCCCGGCTTTGTGGAAATACTCCTTTGACGCCCTTCTCAAAATTCGTCTTTAGAACTTTGAATTGGGGGCGCATGGCGTTGATCTTCCTTCTCCAACCCTCCGCCCCAGTAAGCAGTCGGGTGTGAAGGTTTGAAATGCCAGTTGTTTATTTCGAAACTGCAGCCATTCCTCTTCTATCAGTAGAATATTTTCTTGTCCTAGTTAGTTTTTCCTCCGTTTGAGGAGGCTTCGTTGCTTTAGCTAGTCGTCAGTCAAGGTCTAGTAGGGGAGAATAGTGGCAAGGGGTTTTGTTGCTGTTTGTGTCCTGGAAGAAGAAAGAGGATTGTTTTTGCTGGGCCTGGGAACCACATAACGCTCAACACCCGAGCCAGTGAATTTACAGCCATCATGAGCCACAGCCCTGAAAGTAAATGGTGAACATCTGTGATGAATCGCCCGGTGTGAGCCACAGCCATTACTACCGTTATTTTATTGTTAGCAAAACCCATTTGTCTTGTATCCAAACCTGTCCCAAAAGTGGTATTTGTGCATAAACTCTTGATAAGCAAGGCGTGCAGAAAATATTGAAGGGTAATGATTCCGCCATCCATTTTTGGAAAAAGTAAGAGACTTAGGTTTCAGTTAATACTTACTTAATGTTTGGTTATTCTTGTGCCCACATTGGAGAACTAACTTAATGACTTAAGTTTAAGCATCGATATTTTATTAATGGTTTGCTTAATCTTTTGCCCACGTTATAAAATTTGAATATGGAAATTTAACCGACATCTGTCTCTTGAGAAAAAACTGGCTTTTCTCTAATTGTTATATATAGTAGGCTTATATATAAACCAGTCCAAAGTAGACTTGACAATGTTGGTGCATTGGTAAGCTTTATTTTTCCTCCCTCCATATTGTCTGCTTAAGAATTTTTGAGTTTTGTCAACTTGGTAATCCAGTTGAGTTTCTCAGCGGGGGCATTATTGATATTCTAGGCTAGGTAATTATTTGGAGTTGTCCTGTACATTGTGGGATGTTTTGCAGTGTTCTTGGCCTCTCTAGATTAGCTGCCAGTAGGACCATCCACTTCCAACCTCCTATAATTTGTGAAATGAAAAATATATTGGGATAATATTGATATGTTCCAGGGAGGGCAAATATCACTCCCAGTTAAGAACCATTGATCTGCACAAATCAACTTCTCTACTTGGCTCCCTACTTTTTTTTAATGGGTAAACACTTCAGAGCCATCATTTCTTACCCAAAAAATCTTTGCCAGTCTCCATTGTCATATACCTCCCATTACTTCTGTTTTAAAACTATGGTTTTAGCAATTCACCTTATTGTTACAGAAATCCACCTAAAGCATTTACTCTAAAAGTTGCAGCATGAAGACTGCACAATTTCAAGTTGTGCAAAGTAAATATCTAGTGGAAAAAAAAACCCTGCAGATCTCCCCTCACTCACTGTTTTCATTGGCATTATGTATCTTGAAGCTCATTTTAGCACATAGAAGATCTAGGGTTCCAAAAACAGTTTTATGATTATCCTATGAGTGACCCTTTCCCATCTTCAGTCCCCCTTGTTGGTCCTTCCCCCCCCCTGCCCCCCATAATGTTCTTTCAGCAAGTGGTTGGGTGCCTGATAAAGGTTCCGGATACATTGTGCCAAATGCCAAGAATAGAAAGAAGTAAATTTTCCCATTAGAGTTCACATAATTAGGTTTTTTGCCCTTCCACGTGGACACTGAAACACTTTCCTACACTCCACATTACATTCACTCTAATGTTCTCCCTCAACAGATTTATTCAAAGAACTCAGTTGTTTTACTTCCTCACATACCTATCATTCTTCAACACTCTTTTGTACCTAACTGCTCTACTTAAATAGCCCTTGCTGCTCAATAATCGCCAGTTATTACCTTGCTGGAATCCCTTCAAATATTGAACAAGACAAACTGCATCCTTGTTTCTTTAGTGCCTCTGGGCTACCAGTTTGGTTATCAGTGTATGTTATTACCACTACCCGAAAGAAAAGTAGTATATTCCTATAAGGTACGTTTTGGTAGGTGTATTTTTGATCTGGGAATACCGTTAACATTAATTTATGTGGGAAAACTATTTTAGCATTTCCAGACCACTCCCTATTCTCAAAAAAAAAAGCATACTAAATCATACCAGATAGGACCATTTTACTTTGGGTTAATGAGGGAAACCTGTGTTATACAGGTGCCCTATGGAACTGGTCCCACCTGCCTCTTCTACTTGATCTCATCTTCTCATCTCCCCTATGCTCTGGGCATACTAAACTACTACTTGGAGTTTCTCCATGTATTCTTACATATTCTGTTTCCCTCTACCTGCAGTGTTTCTCTTCCTGTCTTCCTAATACACCTGTATTCAATCAAGGTTGAGGTCAAACAATCTTTGAAACTTCTTCCATCAGGTGTAGTTTTCTCCTGAAAAGCTCCCAAAGTATTGTATATTACTAATTTTTAGTATAATTGCTTACCTTTTTTCATGTATGTGACAAAATTTCACCATTCTGCCATTTTTAAGAAGTAGTTATGTCATTAAGTGTCTAGATTGTAACATCACTCTCATCCACATTTAGAACTTTATTTATTCAACTTTTTTTCTTAATTAGTATTCTTACTTTGATATTAATGGACAGGTTTTGAGCATTCTGTAAGCCCCCAAAAATATCTTTAAAGGTTTATGTATTGGGGGTTCATTTTTATAGCGTAGGATCCAAAACTTTGTTTAGGTTTCCTAAATAGATTTGTTTCTATATGAGTCATTGTCAATCAGGAAAGCTGAAACCAACCTAGTATTTAATAAGGAGCCCTCTAGTGAGAGAATTGGTTACACTGATAGGAAAACTAAGAAGACAAGTAGCTCATATGAGCCAACTGGAAGGGTGACCATATAGGAAGACAATTCAGTAATCAGGAGGAACCCACAAACTGGGTTCATTGTCTGATGAGAACTGCAGTTATAGGAGTTTCTTCTAAGACAGAAGGAATGGGGAGGCAGGGGGAATCTGCCCTCAATTTCCCCCTAGCGCTTCCTATTGACTGATAACAGCTAGAAGCCATCTGACATGAAACCTACAATACATTGCCTATATGGAATCAAGTTTCCTATCATAGAATGCCGAGCAAGGTAAGAATACTAAATTTGAAGGTAAACAGCCAAGACCTGTGAGGTGAAGAGCCTGGTCCTTCAAATTAGTAGTTACTAAAAGTAAAAGGGAAGAGGGAGGGAGAGGGGCAGTCAGGTAAGAGAGTTCAATTGTATGATGAAGGACAGAATTGAACAGGTGGCAAGCATAATGTGCTGTGTACAGTGATTTATAATACACACCTGAAACATATATAATGTTACAAGCAAATGTTACTTCATTAACATTTTTTAGGTGAGCCACTGGTCCTGTTCAGCTTTATATGGCGAAGATGTTACAGATGTTTGATAAATACAAAAGTACAACTGTCACCTATTCAGATTAAATTTTTTGTCATTCTATTTTTTTCTGTTATTTGTGTAATAATATGTCCCTGACATTTACAACTTTCTTATCAGTTGTCTTCAGTTATTTATCTGTTATCCATCATATATGTTGTGCTTCATCTAAACTGGGCTTCACTAGACATGTTCTCTTCCTAGGCTTTGTATCAGTTTTATTGGTATCCCCAGAAATCCTTCATTGCTCATCTCCATAAAACATTGCACAAATTTCCCCAAGCCTGGTAGTATTTTCTTTAGCCATTATCCACCCGTGAAGCCCATGTTCTTACCACCTTTGCCTTGTATGACAGTTATTTATGTATATATCTTCTGGTTCATAGTAGATCTTAACTTCATAGATAAGACTTTGTCTTTATTATTTAGTAATATAAAGCACTGTATGTTAAATTTTGTAAGAATTACCTACATTCTCTTAACATTAAACCACTGATGTTTTGGGGGAATTGTTGGAATATATAATAGATGTTTTCAGGTAGCATGACTTGCTATCTTGTTTTCTTAATAGGGCACTTTTCTC